CACACCAGTCAAGGTCCCGTCCAGCTCTTCTCCGCTAAAAACTTCAAGGCTGTATTCAAGGTTTGGGGAGGGGAGAATCTGCAATAATTTAAGTTGCTTCTGGGTTAGGTTTTTTGTTGTGGTTGTTGGGGTTTTTTTTCCTTCTTTTTTTGCTGGCAGTTTGTGGCCAGGCACTGAAAAGGAAGCTAAAAGTACTGATGGGGCAAGGAGAGGGCTCCAGAGTGTCATCTTCCTCATAAAGCAGTTAGCTGAGAATCACTGAACAGCAAGGGAAGGATTTTCCTGCCTTCCTCCACAAGTTTTTCAAGTGAGCCAAGGCCCTTATCACTGCTCCATACCTCAGCGAAGGGGGCTCTGCAGAGCAACACTAGCACTCGGACTTCTCAGTGGCGTGGCTCCTGTGGCTGCCTCCATTGTTTGTGGGATATTCTCTCCCCCTTCCCTCCTTCTAACAAAGATTCTGATTAATGATCGCTCATTCCTAATTGTCAAATTTCTTTTCCTTCATCCTGTGTCTAATCACCAGTGACAGAAGCCATTACGCAAATGAGAGCAGACGACTTCCCACAACTGTTCTCGTTGGTAAAAGCCTTGTAATTTAAAGCTCTGATTTGTAGAGGAAAGCTGCGTTTCCCCAAGGCGTCCCGGCATCTGTTCCACTTACGCTCCAAAAGCCTCTACTTCCGCTCCCTCCCCCCACAATTAGTCCTCCGTTCGCAACAAATATTTGACTTTGTGAGGCAGTAATTAGAACTTACTTTGCATTTGTTTGTCACAGTGGCAGCATCTCTTCCCCTTTCCTTGGGCAGGAACTCCTTCTACACAGCAGAAATACAGAAGAGTGCACATCGAAGACGGTGACTTCAGAACTTGCCAGGACATGAACAGAAGAGTTGCTGTCTCCGCAACAGGAATGGAAGATGGAGACCATAAAACAGAGTGCCAGGAAGCTCCTCACACCCATGTGTGGTAGAAGGGAAGGTTAAAAGAAAGCACTAGAAAAAAATATGTGCCAGGGCAGTGTCTTGTCAAGACTCTGAGTGCACTCTCCCCCTTCTAGGGCTTTGGCTGGCCAAGTGAAGGAGTAGCTGGCTGTGTTCAAGGTCAGCTCACTCACTGGTAAGAGGTGTTGTGAAACAAAAGCAGCCTCAGCCTGGGCCTACCCCTCTTTTCCTTGGGAGCTGCTTTTAAGCTGAGGCTCTACTTCTACCTTCAAGCACCTCTAGAGTGCTACAGGCCCACAGGGAAGAAAAAAAACACACACACACCCCAAAAAGCAGGGTATCAATCTAAAAAACAATGCTCTTTCTCTACAAGAAAGCTCTTGCAGCCAGTATCTACAAGGATTAAGAGAAATGTCTCTCCTCCCTGGAGGAAATCTCACTTTTCAAAGACCAGGGGAGTGGAGGAGGCAAAAGAAAAAAAAAAAAGATATTACAAGACCTAAGAGAAACAGCAAACCAGAAAGACTAAAAGTGCCAGGGAAAATCTTCAGAGTCTTATCTGGTTTTCAAACGACGGTTCTCACACCTCTACTCCTCTGCACTCCGAGACATTTCTAAACTTTGTGGTACCATCCACGCATGTTACCCAAGAGGCATAGACTACAGGATCAGACATGTACGGAACACTGTATTCAGCAGACCAGTAACAACTGTATGTTCAAAGAGATGATGATTCCAGCAGGCACAGCATGGAAGGGTGAATGCCCATGGCCATAGAAGACACATCTGCTTGTCTTTCCTACTCTCTCCATATCCATATGGTCCTTCCAAGGGTGTGAGAAGGCCAGTTGTGGGACCCCAGTATCATACAGCTGTTTGACACATACAGGCCCCCAACACCTCTATCCTCTGTTTAATCCTCCCCCATAGTACACATTAGAAACTTGTTCAGATCACATCATCAACATTTCATTGGTGGTTAGATGCTAAAGGGACTGTAGAGCTAATATTATTGTAAAATAGCCTATGTTTTTAAAAAGTAGAAGACTCCACCACCTGAGATTGCCAACACACAACAGAAGTACACACAGAGGAAGCCTCCCACCAAAATCACCTTGTCCAAAGTGTGAATCAGATAATGGATCAAGGAGAGAACAAGATATCCCAACTGAAAAGCAACTGACGCAATTCATTAGACTTGATAGCGTAGTTTGTTGCGTGGGTCAGTGACCAGAGCATAAAACTCCCACTCAGGCCAGCAGGGCAGGGAATCCGTTCATACTTGACAGAGTTCAAGGATACATTCTTATTCCCAGTTTTCCTCTCAGGCTTATGGGAATGGTCAAGGGAGGGTGGTGCAGACTCACAGTAACAGAGCTAGCATTGCTATTTTGAAGGCAGCTCTAAAGACCACAAGCCTTCACTGGTGAAGAATACAGGCAGAGTTATTAGAAAGACTGAACACTAACTTCAGATGCACATCTCCTTAAAAAGCTCTCCTACATAGACACTCACAGAATAAGAGCCACACACTTCTGTTGTTCAACACTGGTTGTATTTAAGAACTACACTTCAGAAGGTACCGTGTGTTTTTCACACCCCACCCCCTGCACACACACCCCTAGCATAGAACACACACAGCTTCCCAATACCATGGCAAGGGGCATCGAAAGCACAAGGTGAAAAGGGAAGGGGAGAGTCAGTCCATCAGTGCATTGTAAATGAGCTTTCACAAAGTCAAGTGCAGCGAAAACAGTTCAGACACTTAAAAAGTTAGACCTTTGGCAAATAAAGAAAAAAAAAATCCTTAAGTTCCACATGTACCATTCTCTCTCCACAAGGGATGTGAACTGCCACCCTGAGCTTCAAGAGCTGATGGTGCCTAACAACTAGTACTTGAAACTATCATGTGCTAAATAAGTAGCACAGAGCTGGGATTTCACTTGAACATCTTCTAACCAACGTCAGTGGCTGTGCATGTGTTCCAGCTTCCTGGGAAGGCCTTGTTTTTGGCCAGAGTCAGCAGACCAGCCTTCTTTCTCACCTGCCCAAAGGCTGGGCATTGATAAGCATCCAGCTGAGTGACCTTTCTATGAATCTAACCAGAGCTGTGGATAGAGTCTGCAACAAGTAACATGGCAGTCAGATTACTCAGTGACACAGACATATTTTGTAACAAGGGCTCTGCAGCTGCCAGTTACACTTCATTTTTTCTTCTGACCTGTAAATCAGTCATAGAACAAGTCCTTGGGAATTCCCGTTAGAGAAGTCTTCCACCTTTGTGCAAGAGAAGCTCACAGCAAGTGGTACAGGAGCACTCTCAGCACAAGGTGGGACCTGAAGCCAAAGATACAGAGTGCTTCCTCAGCAGTATCTTCTCAACACATTTATCAAAAACTCATGTCAGAACAAGCTCTGAAGAACAAAGGAGAAAGCACTGGGAAGACTCAATTGAACAATCGCCCATTAGTCTCTGGGATGAGTTAGATGGGGTATGAAACAGCTTCTCCTACCTCTAGCTCCTGGGACCCATTACAACCACACCAAATATACAACTCCTTTGCTCCACCCCCCAAACCAGGAACAGCAAGGCAGTGCACAGTAGGGAAAAGAAGTCAGTCTTCACATGAGCCTAAGGCTTTTGCATGGAGGAGGTGGAAGAATGCATAAACGGACTTTTCAGGGTTACTGCTGAAGTCTCTAAACAGAGGCTCCTCTAGCTCCTGCGCCCTGTTTTTTGTTGCTTCCTGGCCTGCTATGTCACGTCTCAGAACAAAGAAAGGATGAATATGAACTTAACCACACTTAAACAGAAAGCCTGACCTCTTTCACATGACTACAAGAAAGGGAACCACACACTGGCATGAATTCGCCTGATGGACAGGAGCCATACATCACACAAACATACGCACCTGCGCGCAGCCACACACACTCAAGTTCTTGCAGTTTCAGAAAAAAGGGCACTTCCCATGTTAGTCCAAGGAGCCGGCACCCCCTGGTGGGGAGAAGTGAGGCTCTGTACCTATCTGACATGGCATTTTGACATTCTAGCTCAGCATCCCTGGAGAATTTCTTTTAAAACGTAACTTAAACATCCAAGACTTGAAGAGCGCCCAAGTGTTTATGCATCTCCCTTCATAATGCTATATCTCCTTTTAATCCTATTGCAGCTTCAAAACAGCAGGAGAGAAGCCTTCACTGTGCAGAGAAAGCTGCTATCAGAAGGAAGGTGGTTTATCTATACTCCTACAACAGGGATGTCATTTGCAGAGCATAGGATTCGGTGCTCACATACCAGATGAATTCACTCTGATCTCTCTACTCTATATCAAAGTCCCAAGCATAAGCGTCTTGAGTTGAAGGAATTGAATCATTTGTCCAGTTGCTCCTCACACATAGGCCATCACGTGTTCATTTCCACTACACAAAAAGGTGCCAGAATTGAGCATGGACAGGTCCTCTAACAACAGAGGACTGTGAAATCTAACATTTCACATCTTATATCCACTGCAGGCACCAGCACATAAACCCAGCCAGGGAGCCCAAACTCTGGGAGGCTGAGGAAACAAGACCACTCTTGGTTCCCCTCCAAGCTCTTCTTCAAATGCCTGAAAATCCTTAATCAACATATCTGAGTGCCAGAAGCCATGCTCCTCGTTGTGGCAAACAGGGCAGAGGGAAGGGGGAAAAAAAAAACAAGTTAGTGAGCATGAATCCAGCTTCCAATAAGTGCAGACTCTTTCTTGGGAGGTTCAGTTAGATGAGAGTGGAGGATGGATGGGGTACTAATGGTTCTGCAGTTCCAGTAGCCCCCTTTATTGTAGTGGGGCAGGGATGGGCCAGAAAACCCATCAGTCTGTTAAGTGCTGCGTGCAATACTAGCGCTCAGTATCTTCCATTGCTTGTGAACAAAGCAGCTCCAACATCAGTCACCCAGGCAGCCAGGCATTAGTCATACCGTCCCTTAATCATCATATTCAACAAGGGACCCACCTGTTCAAAGCAAAGACAGATCATTAGCCAGGATAGGTACATATAAGTGGCAGCTGCACAGTCTGCTCCCTCCCCTTCATAGCAGCTTATGAGCTGAGGAACCCAGGGTAGAGGATCTCAGTACACAGACTGAAACTATACTGAATCAATTTCAGAGTATCTTTTAAATTAAAACACCGGGGCATGCCTGAGCACATCCTCAAATACTCTACCACAGTCACAGGAGTTAACCAGGGTTCTCAGCCAACACCACATTTGGAATGTCACCAAAGCATCCCACTTGCAATTGGTTGAAACTTTTTAACTTCCCATCCTAGATGTATGCTTTCATGAGGTGCAATTAGAAGGAGTCAACAGTCATCAGGAGCTGCTTTTTGCAGGGCAGAGAAGAAATGCTCTCAGCCTCTGTATTCTGTCTGGTCTTTGGGGTCACTTGGAAGGAAGTCTAGTACTAACACCTTTGCTATGGTTTTGTTTTCAGCCAAGACCACTCCTATTTCTCAGCACTGCCAATCACCAAGGGAAGAGCTTCAACATGTTATGGCAGTAAGATGATCTCACATGGGTGTGCTAGAGATGTTGCTGCACAGTGATAATGCTTACAGACCATGAAAACATTTATATTCACATCCAGTACTTCCACTTTCATATCAACTGATCTTCAAAAGTCATACTCTTACTACTTCGATACACTGTTATTTAAGATACACCAGCTGGTTAAAGTTGCAACAAAATTCAGACATGGCTGGGACAGGTCGTGAGGGGGAAGCACATGGCCTAATGGAAGAGACTGCTCAGATGTAATAGATTTGTATTCGACAGGTAAAACACTCTCATTGCTTTGACAAATACTGGGTATCTATTTCTCTTGTTGCTGCACTGAAGGCTAACGAGAGTTTGGGAGCAATGCTTTTCCTGGCAGTGCCCAGAGCCAAGGTAAACCTCCCAAGTATAAGAACAATTATTCCCTTGTTTGCAGTGATCCTCTCCAGGATTATAATTTAAGGAACTTGCATTTTGTATCCCAAGGGCATTCTGAAAACAGAGCACGAAGAAGTGTTCAGAGCAACAACACAACACTGCTTTCTCCCACCCCTCAGTGACACCTGCAGAGCCAAAAAGCTGGCATCTTGACTTCTGTACTAATGCCCAACTATTTCAACAATTCCATTCTTTTCATACCTCTTGTGGATTTCCTAGGGCCTCTCCCAACATCTTCTCAATGTTCCTCATTATCGCCACTTTCTGATGAGCCTTTAATGGATATTCAATTCTCTTTGGGGTAGGGGCACCCTGAAATATGAAAAATAGCTTCTTGCATGCTTGCTGAATTAGCAGATTATTCCACTCTCTCCCAGCTCTTCATTCACAACATAAAAGGGAGAAAGTAGCTTTCAGCTTATGACAAGTCCTAAGGCATAGGATCTGGTGTACTGCAGTTCCTGCATTGACAGCACCTGCCAATACATCTCCACCTGAAAAAATCCTCTGGCATAGAACTACCTAAGGTGCATAGAAGGGTGCATGTACTCACCTTGTACCAGAAGTTCACAGTGATGGTAATTCCCCCATTCAGGAGAGACTCAATGTGGTGCCACCTACACAGAAGCCACACAAAAAAAGAAGAGAAACTATTGCTACAGCCTATGGTGAAACATCTTGAACAGATGAGTGCAGACTGCACTAGAGAGGCCTTGACCTGTACCTCCATCACCAAAATCCCAGAACTTCTGGAAAGCTCTCCTTATTTAAATACAGATACTTTTCTCCCACACATTAGCAGATAGCCCACACAATAACGAGGAGCCAGAGAGAATTATCACTTCCATTTTACAGATGGGAAATAGAGCCAGACTGGCCCAAGTTATTACAGCAGATGCCATATTGCTGGAAAAGTCAAAACAAAATTATCTTAAAAGCCAGCCCAAAACTTTAGGCAGAAGATCCTTTAAACTTGTTTGCTAGTCAACGTGCAACCCCACCATCCTTCTTACCAGTACATCGGTATGTAGAGCACATCGCCTGGACCCACCACTGTTTCATAGCCAACAACACTCCGGAAGTTCGGAAACTTCTCGTAGTCAGGATTGTCAAAGTCCACCTAACACGAGGAGAAGTAAGAAACTCAGAACAATTTCCTGCAATGACAGCTCTCATTATTGGCTTTTGGTATCAAATCGTCCTTGATAATCTTCCTATACAGCTTTTACATTCCCATTAGTGCCTAACTCCAAAGTGAGGTCTGCAGTACCCCCAAAGCATCACCAATTCAAACAGGCACCCTGAAATTTGTTGCAAAGGCTCAGAAAGTGGTATGTGGCTCCAATTTCAGTGCCGTTTCCTCCCACCTAGCATTTCCACAAATGCCCCTTTTCAGCACGGTGAAGGGAATAGTTCTGCTGCTCTCACCTGGCTCTGCCTGTCACATGGATGGTGCACAGGATAAGGGTAGAGGCACTCAAACTGATCAGGAGGGAACAGGATACATCTCTTGTGGCCCTTAATCTGAGCAAAGAAGTTCTGTTGCTCATCATAATGAGCTGGTGTCACATTCCCTGCAGAGAGAAAAGACTGATAATCAAAACAAGACATTTTCACATATATTTACAAGAGTTATGAACAAGATACTCCTTTCTAGAGCAAGGACAGTAAATATACTTCCACATATAGAGAAAACTAAAGAAGGAAAGTGTTACACGTTACAAACTGATCATTATATCAGTCAGCCTTTACTACAGCAGTTGCTATCCCACTTAATAATGGCCATTCTAAATTCATATTCAGCAACTCTGCAGAATTTCCATCTTGTCTCCACAAACAGCAGATGGTGAAAGTTGATGGGAAGCTTTTTCAGAAAATCACTCTGTTTAGCTGACAAGTTGGGGAACGGACTTTCAGAGCATTCTTAGTCTAGAGAAAAGAAGTCCAACAGGTTGATTTTGAAAAAAGTCATAAATCCATAGTGCAAGAAAACAAGTAAAAAAATCCTGTCATTAGGATGTCACAATACAATTGCCCCTCCTTTGTCGCAGGAACTGATTAACAGAGTTATCAAGCCTGACTGCCACCACCGGATCTTAAATATAACCAAATCTGAAGACATAGTGGGTTTTTTTTTTTTTTTGGTGTATGTGTCTGTAGGAACATCTGATCTTGATAACACAGTGTTTCTTTTTTAATCAGAATGTCAATACTGAATTTTTTTTTTTTTTAAACACCCTTCACAACTATTTTTTTCAGGCTGTTTGACAATTCAGGTACTGCTGTTCTGTCTTGTTCTTTTTATGTATTTTCACTAAGGACAATTAAGATTAAGGAGAGTTAAGGTTACAGCTAATCCTATCACTTCATTTAAAAGATCATGCAGGCAGATGCTTCCATAGAGGCATTCCTTTTTTCTAGCATAAACTGGTCCAAATATATTCCTTGGTTCTTTTGACTAGCCTGTTCGTAATAGAATTTTAGCTGATCATATTATGACCCACAGAGAAGCACGGGTGCAATGCTTTTATATGAGGTTCTCTTCTCTCAGCTAGTAAAATATACGGCAAAGAAACTACTCTGAGCTGAGCACTACTTTCTGCAAGGGAGCAAAAACCTGCAGCCAAAAGTGAAAAGCCATGAATGACAAAAATAATTGGACAAACAGATGCAACGGCCGCTTCAAACACAGGCTGGCCCACATCGCAAAACTGTATATTCCTTGCCTGATTATTGGGATTAGAGACCTACACTTTCTACTAGTATGCTCTTCTTATGGACACTGCAGTAGTATCTATGTTTTCTAGTGTACCTGCCTATGAGTCAGTCTCCACATTTATTGAGAATTCCACTCTCTCCAGACACTTTATGATTTACCTGTCTTCAAATTCCACAGTACTGTCTAACTTTGCAGATGAAATTTAGGTCTTACTTAAAGTAAGGTACTCCCCGCAGCGTAACAACTCAAATGGGAGCAAATGGTTCACAGAATAATTAACGTTTCCTCTTGTAAAGGACATATCTTTAGGACAGAGATTGGATATACTGCTAAGAAAAACCCAGAGGGCTGGCTTTGCTCAGCCTGCAAACCCTTAGACTCTGGGCACTTTAAACCTACAGTATCTGAAGCATTAAAGTGATAAACAGGAATCCGTCTCAGAATATGATTAGGGATCCCTGAAAACACAGCTCTAACAGCATTGCACAGAGCCTTTTCATGAGAGCTGACCTCCAGGCATCCACAGAAAGCAGGTTATGCTTTTATCTGTCTCTCTGTATAATCCAATTTAAGCTGCGACAACATTCCCCTCCCAACTCAAAGCTTTGCCCTGTTTGCTCTGAAGGGACCATTAGAAATTAGTGTAAAATTCATCTGAAAAGACTCTCTGGAACTGAAATACAGAGTTGCTCACCGAATCTCCTTCCCTTCCTCTCCATTTAGATAAAGTTGCTTACCTTCCATGCCAATAAGAAGCAAGTTAGAAGTCAGTTGACCCCAGCCACGTTTCCCTTGCTGCTTGTTAATCCAGTTCCAGTTGAAGCCAAGAAAATCCACTACAATCTTCCTTCCAACTGTGTCATTCAGAGTTTGCTGCAGGTATAGCCTGTATTTCCCCAGAGACAAGTACAAAGCAAGTATTAAGCTTTTGCATAAATACAAAGGCACCTCTTTGCTCACCTTCAGAAAGGCACTTCTTTGGTCCTCTACATATGTGCCCCTCTACCAGACACATAAGACATTTGAACATAGAATACTTGATCTACAGGAAACAGTGGAAAAGCTATCCTCCTCTGTACAGCATCAAGATCTAACTTTCAGGGATTCTCTTCTATCATCAGCCACCACAACTACCCACGGAAGGAGACAGCTTCAAAAACCCCCGAGCTTTGCTGAAAGATTTCCCGGTACTGAACACAGCTCTGCTGGAAAAATCACAGGGGAAAAATTTTAGACTTCTACAGCAAGAACAACCCCTGACCAAGCAGCATTAGGAAACTCTAAACAAATAAGCCACAAATAAATAGCAAAAATACTTATGAATAACCCCTGGATTAATGCTCTAAGCCATTTGCCATACAAGTTACCTCTTCTACAGTGCAGAAGGGCAAAAAGAGGGCTCAGAAAACCCAGCACTTCTCAGTATCGAGTTATCTTAAAGCCTCACACACGTTTAGATACAGCGGACTGAAGAACCCAAACTTCCACATTAACAATCTCAGTATTACAAAATATTGTCTGCAATGCTAGAAGAAAAAACATGTTTCTAAGCTCAAGGAGTGGCTTCTGCCTTGGAGAAAGTACATCCAAAGCTGAGAAAGGCAAAGGCAAGAGGACCAGCAGACATGGACACACAGAGCTGCTTCAAATAACCATCCTCTGAGTCCTCTGAGAAAGCTATTTGGTGACTGACAAAATCAACCAGAGGTTTAAGTACAGTTGCTAATAGATACACCTCCATAAAGAAGAAGCTCCTCTTACTAATTTACAGCTCTGTTAGTAGTCTAGGTCAACATCATAATACACACAGAGCACACATGCTACTTTTCCTGATCTTCCTGAGGAAGAGTTAACAGCAACTAGCCCAGGATTTTGCAAAAAGTTCTGAGTGCCACTGCCCGTGCCCTTTCATTGGCTAACTAAGCTCCTTCTACCAATATCACAACCTACCAAAATAAAGCGATGATTAGGGCCTTCTCTATCCAACTCCCGCTATGGACAAAGGGGAAAAAACATCTCTGCAGACAGACAATTTAAACAGTTTGATTAACTAAGGGCATGACTTTAACCTAATAACACTGTGCTGTGATAACACAGGTGCTGTGAAGTAACAGTCCCGAAACAGGAAAAGCTTATGGAAAACAAAAAAAGTTCCAGAGGTTTTAATCATCAACAGCTACTTAAGGGAAACTTACCCTTTACTTAAACCCAGGTAAATGTAGGAAATGCCACAGATTGCTTACCTCTCAGCACTCCCTTTCTGCTGTATTTCTTTAAGTCTGTCCACAAACTCAGCGAACTTCATCTCTTCCCTGCTGGACTTGGGCTTGAAGTTCTTGAAATTGGCCATCTTCTTCTCATCATAGTACAAAAACTTGTGCGTGCTGGCACTATACACTGAGAAGTCCCCATTGCCAATGTTTTCCTGGAGGTAGTCCAGGTCCCATTTCAGAGCAGGATAAACCAGATTTGTATCTGTCAGCACCACTGGCTCCTGAAAAGACACAGGAAGTTTATTGATTCAAGGACCTCTTGAACTTGAAGATGAACATTTTCATTACCACAACCACAAATTCTCCTCTAAAATAGGAAATTGACAAAGGAATATAAAGTAATCAGATGACTTTGGGTAGAAAAACAAGCAAAACATTACAGAAAGTTCTAGGAAAGCAGTGGACTGCTCCCACAGCAAGTTCATAGCAGCAACAGGATGGACTCCACTATCTACCTAGCTAATCTCTAACATGCGAGCTTAGACAAACACTAGCTGGGAACAGTTTTAAGTCTACTTGGTCCTGCCACGTAGCAGGGAGGCTGAATAGATTCCATCTGCTTGCTCCTAGCCCCAGCTACAAAGGCGTAAGTGGTGGCAAAAAGATAGCTTTACATCTGGAAAAAGAGACAGCACAAATCTCCTTCCTGATAACCTCAAACCAGCAAAAGAAGTAAGATTTTACCCTGTCTTCTACATCAAAACAGAGCTACTACAGGAACAAAACAGAGGTCATAACTTGCCTCCTGAAACATAAATACTAAGAAACCCAGACAAGAACAACAGCTGCTATGTTCCCAAGCTGTGCTTGCACAACTTCCCTTCTTACAGGTTTGCTTCCCAAAACCCTCGTAACCTTACCAAAACTAGATTGAACTTGCCTTCCACGACCAGTGCAAAGGCAGTATCAGAATGCAACCTTCGCATCCGTGGCTGCTCTCACTCAGAAAAGAACAAACGTGAGCCCATAGCTTCACGTAACCATACCGGGATTTACATCCCAGGACCAAAGCACTGAACGCAAACGTTTCCTGCAGGTTTCACAACACAACGTTGCAGCTCACGGCACCTAACAGGAACCGGACACCGGCAGCAACCGTGCCCGCGCGCACAGGCAGCGGTAGGGGCGCAGCAGCGCCGGGGCC